CTTTTGGAGTTGTTGGTTAAAGCAAATATAGAGGCTACAACAATATCAGACCATGCACCTGTTTCAATGAAGTTACTATGTGGAAGAGAGCAGAATAAATTAAAAATGTGGAAATTAAATGAGACACTCCTTCAAGATCATGAGATGGAACAGAGAATAAAAAAAGAAATAGAACAATACTTATTTATTTATTTCAGGTACTTATATAGCGCCATCAATTTACGCAGCACTTTACACATATATATTGTACATTCACATCAGTCCCTAACCCTCAAGGGGTGTACAATACTTTGAAGTAAATGAGACTGAAGGAGTCTCAACAGCCACGGTGCGGGAAGCACATAAGGCATATATCAGGGGAATTTTGATAGCGATTGGGGTAAAAAAAAAATGAAGGAACGAAATAAGAAAATGAATACGCTTCTAAGGGATATACACAAATTAGAACAGTTACATAAAAAAAGAATAACAAAAGAGATTCAGCAGAGTATAATAAATAATCGAGAGGAATTATGTAATTTAATGGAGAATGTATTTAAAAAATATTACAATAAACTATATAATGTTATTCCACAACCATCAAAAAGAGAAGAGGAAGAAAGAAGCGGGATTGCCGAGACTAGGGGAAGAACAGTTACCGTATTTTTCGCTCCATAAGACGCACCTGACCATAAGACGCACCTAGGTTTTAGAGGTGAAAAACAAGAAAAAAAAATATTCTGAACCAATGGACTGCAGACACAGTAGAGGGGATGACCAGAGACTGCGGACACAGTACAGGAGATGACCAGAGACTGCGGACACAGTACAGGAGATTACCAGAGACTGCGGACACAGTACAGGAGATGACCAGAGACTGCGGACACAGTACAGGAGATTACCAGAGACTGCGGACACAGTACAGGAGATGACCAGACCAGAGACTGCGGACACAGTACAGGGGATGACCAGAGACTGCGGACATAGTACAGGAGATGACCAGAGACTGCGGACATAGTACAGGGGATGACCAGAGACTGCGGACACAGTGCAGGAGATGACCAGAGACTGCGGACATAGTACCCGGGATGACCAAGAGACTGCGGACACAGTACAGGAGATGACCAGAGACTGCGGACACAGTACAGGGGATGACCAGAGACTGCGGACACAGTGCAGAAGATGACCAGAGACTGCGGACACAGTGTAGGAGATGACCAGAGACTGCGGACACAGTGCAGGGGATGACCAGAGACTGCGGACAGTGCAGGGGATGACCAGAGACTGCAGACAGTGCAGGGGATGACCAGAGACTGCGGACACAGTACAGGGGATGACCAGAGACTGCGGACATAGTACAGGGGATGACCAGAGACTGCGGACATAGTACAGGGGATGACCAGAGACTGCGGACACAGTACAGGGGATGACCAGAGACTGCGGACATAGTACAGGAGATGACCAGAGACTGCGGACATAGTACAGGAGATGACCAGAGACTGCGGACATAGTACAGGGGATGACCAGAGACTGCGGACACAGAACAGGGGATGACCAGAGACTGCGGACACAGTGCAGGAGATGACCAGAGACTGCGGACATAGTACCCGGGATGACCAAGAGAGACTGCGGACATGCGGACACAGTACAGGGGTGACCAGAGACTGCGGACACAGTACAGAAGATGACCAGAGACTGCGGACACAGTGCAGTAGGAGATGACCAGAGACTGCGGACACAGTGTAGGAGATGACCAGAGACTGCGGGGTGCAGGGGATGACCAGAGACTGCGGACAGTGCAGGGGATGACCAGAGACTGCAGACAGTGCAGGGGATGACCAGAGACTGCGGACACAGTACAGGGGATGACCAGAGACTGCGGACATAGTACAGGGGATGACCAGAGACTGCGGACATAGTACAGGGGATGACCAGAGACTGCGGACACAGTACAGGGAATGACCAGAGACTGCAGACAGTACAGGAGATGACCAGAGACTGCAGACAGTACAGGAGATGACCAGAGACTGCAGACAGTACAGGAGATGACCAGAGACTGCAGACAGTACAGGAGATGACCAGAGACTGCAGACAGTACAGGAGATGACCAGAGACTGCAGACAGTGCAGGGGATGACCAGAGACTGCGGACAGTGCAGGGGATGACCAGAGACTGCGGACAGTGCAGGGAATGACCAGAGACTGCAGACAGTGCAGGGAATGACCAGAGACTGCTGACCTTTGGGGAGGGAGGGGGAGCGGTACCTGAATTTGACAGGTACCCGCTCCCACTTCCGCGGAGTTGCCTTCCCTCTTCTTCCCAGGCCAGCTTCTGTGACAGCCGGGTGCCCACTGCGCATGTGCGAGAAGCGCTGCGCTTTGTGAATGGCCCGGCGCCTTCTGGGACCTTTCATGTGTCCCAGAAGACACCGGATCATTCACAAAGCGCAGCACATGCGCAGTGGGCACCCGGCTGTCACAGAAGCCAGCGCGGGAGGACTGTGCAGCGCTGGAGCGAGGAACAGGTAAGGCCCTGCAGGAGACAACAGCTGAGCGGCTGGCCCGGTATTCTGACATGGTGACCGCAAAAATACCGGACCGGCCGCTTTATATTCGCTCCATAAGACGCACTGACATTTTCCCCCCTTTTTTGGGGGGAAAAAAAGTGCGTCTTATGGAGCAAAAAATACGGTAATCTGTCTAGAGAAACCGATAATGCAGGAGGAAATCCAGGTAGCACTGAAGGGTACAACAGTGGGGAGGAGTCCGGGGACAGACGGGTATACTTTGAGATATTATAATAAATGTAAAGATCAATTAGTACCTAAACTGAGTTTATATATGAACGCATTAAGAGAGGGGCTGGAAATGAGGGAGGAATCTCAAGCTTATATCACAATCATTCAGAAAGAGGGAAAAGATGGAACCCAATGCGCTAGCTACAGGGCTATTGCTAAATACGGATACTAAATTATATGCAAAGATTCTGGCAAACAGGTTGACAGACCGAATGCCGGAACGGATTCATATAGACCAAGTGGGATTTGTCCCCGGGAGGGATTAAAGAGACAGTGAGTTGAGATCACTGCTTTTTATACAAAGAAGTAAGAGAGAAAAATTCCCTGTACTGATTTTATCAGTGGATGCAGAGAAGGCTTTTTAATAGGGTGGACTGGGGATTTATGTTTGACACGCTGGGGGATAGGCCCCAAAATGAGGGAGTGGATAAGGAAGCTATATAGCCAACCCTCTGCAGCAGTAAAGGTCAATGGTGAGCTAGTGGAATTTTTCAAGATTTTTGTTGTTTGTTTTATCTTTAGAACCTCTTTTGGCAACAGTCAGAAATAGCACAGATATAAAAGGGATTCAGATAGGAGAGACAGAACATAAGGTAGCAGTGTATGCTGATAACATGCTATTTTATGTGGTCAATTCTAGGCTGATGTTACCCAATTTAATGAAAATAATGAAATATTATGGAGAGTTGGCAAATTTAAAAATTAACCCAGCAAAATCTGAGATTCTGCATGTTAATGTCCTGAGAACTGAGAAGAAAGCTTTACAAAGAGAATTTCCCTTTCCATGGAAGGAAAGAGAATTAAAATATTTGGAAATAAAATTAACCTCATCGTTAGAGAATTTATATATAAACTAAACTACATCCCATTAATAAATGAGATTAAGGAGGAATTAAGGAAATTAGTGGTAGGTCCTCTATCCTGGATAGGACGAATGCATTTGATGATAAAAATGATAATTGTCCCAAAAATCCTATATAAATTTCATATGCTACCTATACAGCTTCAGGGAATGTACTTTGAAATAATTTAAAAAATGATATTGAGGTGTCACAAGTTAGCCTGCAGTTTCTTGTTTGTGTATTCTTACCTCTTTGCTGAAGTGCTGTTCCTGATTCCTTTCACATGTGTGGTTTGTCTGTGCTCACCTATGGGCGTCATCTGCTATTCTCTGGGTTTTATTTCCTTCCCTTCCATCAATTCCTGGCCCTCCTCCTTGTTTGCTTGTCTATATAAGGCATGCTTAGTCTAACCCACTTTGCCTGAGCAACTTCTTAGTTCTCTGAGCTCCTGTCTTTTGCTATTCCTGTATCTGACCACCTGTGTACCGACCTCGGCTTCGTCCACTGACTGTGCCTGATTTCCACCCGTCCTGACCCCGGCTTATCTACCGGTTTCTCTGTTGTCTCCTGCCATTACACTCTACTCACGCGAGTGGTCTCCGCATCCTCAGCGGGGCGTACCTGGGGGCCGCGACCTGGTTCTAGCTTGCTGCAAGTCCATCCCCACCATTAGGGGCTCTGGTGAAGAAGCAGGCTGGGGCTTAGACTCCACGCCCTGAGGAACCCCGAGTTTACGGTCTGCAAGGGCTAACTACCACAGGTTCATGATACGAGGTATATTTGGGGAACAAAAAACCGAGAATAAGTTATGAAGTGCTATGTAGAGACAAGGAGAATGGGGGTTTAGGCATGCAGAATTGTAAGAGAGATTATCACATATTTTTGATTTTTTTTAACGCACTTGGGAAAAGTTGGGTAAATATAGAAAACACATTAAGTGAGACAAAATTGAATAGGATGGTATGGTTTACACATCAATAACGCAGGATGGCAGAAAGCATGAGCACTTATACACGAAATGTATTAAGATTTTGATAGGTAATTCACAAACAAATGGGATGGAAGTTCAATTCCATGTTGATGCTGTTGGTGGCCACAGATTTTTTCCCCCACCGGGGAAAGAAAATATTTTGGGCAATTTGATAAGAAGAGGGGGTGCACAGTTAAAAGATATAATGAATGTTGAAGAGATCTGCTCCATTCAGGAGCTGAAAAACAAGAGTGATATTTTCAACTAAGACTCTTTGTGGCAAGACTCCCTAAGCTCTTAACCTCTTGCCGACCGCGCATAGCCGAATGACGGCTTCACCGCGGCCGGCCAGTTCTGGGTGGACGTCATATGACGTCCTCCCAGAACGCGCTCTCCTGCGCGCCCCAGGGGGGCGCGCGCATCTCCCGCTGTGTCCTACGGACACAGCTGGTGATGTGGTAAAAGGCCAATCACAGCAGCCTTTTACCACCTGATCAGCGGTGTCCAATGACACGCTGATCAGAGGGAAATGCAAGTGCCGGTTCTCGGCTGCACTTTCCTCACACTGTCAGATCGTGAGGAAAGTACTGCCGAGAACCGGCAGTTGTCAGAGCGGGGATCGGCACCGATCATCAGGGCACTGATGATCAGTGCCCTGATGATCTGTGCCCAGCAGTGCCACCCACAAGTTCCGCCCAGCAGTGCGCCCACTAGCTCCGCCCACCCGTGCCCAGCAGTGCACCCACCTGTGCCCAGCAGTGCACCCACCTGTGCCACTCTGCAGTGCCACCTACCTGTGCCCAGAAGTGCCACCTACATGTGCCCAGCAGTGCCACCCACCTGTGCCCACCAGTGCCACCCACCTGTGCAGCCCAGCAGTGCTGCCAGTCAGTGCCACCAGTCAGTGCCCAGGGGTTGTGCCAGTCAGTGCCGCCAGTCAGTGCCCAGCAGTGATGCCAGTCAGTGCCGTCTATCAGTACCCATCATCAGTGTCACCTATCAGTGCTGCATATTAGTGCCGCCTATCCGTGACACCTCATTAGTGCTGTCTATCAGTGCTGCCTATCCGTGACACCTCATTAGTACTGCCTATCAATGCCCTTTAGTGCTGCCTATCAGTGCCCCATCAGTGCCGCCTATCAGTGCCCATCAGTGCTGCCTCATCAACGCACATCAGTGAAGGAGAAAAAATGCCTGTTTGAAAAATTTTATAATAGAAACAAAGAAACTTTTTTTTTTTTTCAAATTTTTTGCACTTTTTTATTTATAGCGCAAAAAGTAAAGCGCCCAGCGGGGAGTAAATACCACCAAAAGAAAGCTCTATTTGTGAGGAAAAAAATGATCAAAATTTCATATGGGTACAATGTTGCATGCACAATTGTCAATCAAAGTGCGGCAGCGCTGAAAGCTGAAAATTGGCCTGGTAAGGAAGGGGGTATAAGTGCCCGGTAGGCAAGTGGTTAAGGACAACAGTGGATTCAAACCCATTTGAACAATTGCTTCGCACATGCAGGGAAAAGAAGCATGGTACTTCTCGAATTTATAAAATTCTTACTATAATAACAGAAGTCACTCCCCTGACTTGGAATATGATTTGATGAGCAACAAAAAAAGAAAATTTTTAGATTAGCATACGGCGCTATAGATATGAAGGTGGTGGAAATGAATATATAAATGTTGGCTAGGTGGTACATCACACCAAATGTAGCACATAAGCAATATGGAGATAAATCACCTATGTGTTGGCGGAGATGTGTGATTAAGGGCACAATGGCACATATATGGTGGGACTGTCCTAAAATTCAGGATTGTTGGGGGGGATTAATTCACCAAATTAAGGAGATAACTGGGGCTAAGATCCCGAATGATCCAGGGGTATTCCATAAAACTGAAACTATAGTTGAAAAATATAAGAATTTGGTGATATTTCACCTTATAAATGCAAAAAAAGGGATTGATACCCAAATTTTGGCAGGACCAAGAGGTACCAAAAATAAAAGACTGGATATGTAAGGTAAAAATATATATATATATATATATATATATATATATATATATATATATATAGAATGGAGGAACACTACCACAAGGAAGAAGACAAAATCGAGAGATTTCAAGAAAGGTAGAAAAAATGGGACGAGTTTAAGAGATTAAATAAATATGTCAAAATAGGAGAAATAGAGAAAGAGGAGATGAGAGGATATGTATAACTAAAAAAGGGGAAAGTAAGATAGGGAGAAGGATAAAGGTATCCTGAGGATATTAAGGAGTGATGAGGAACAGGGAGCGAAGGGTAAAGAAATGGGGGTTGGGGGTGGTAGGTGAGAGTTGAGGGGGAGAGTGGGACATGGGGGAGGTGGGTTCCCTGGGGGTATTTAAAGAAAAAAAAATGATGTATTTTTAATTTAAATTTTTTTTTAATGTTATGATAACTTTTTGTATTGAAGTTATGTTGAAGTATGAAAACTAATAAAATATTAGTATAGTATGAAGAGAATTCACTTAGTGACTAGATGCTCCCCACAAAGACTGCGCTTATTGATTTATTAAGAGACTGTGCCACTCCTGCTGCAGTAGAAAGTTCAGGATCTGCCTTTTCGTACATAATCAGAAAATTTGTCCTTTGAGTTATTACTGCAACTCAAGTTGGGTATCCCGTATATCCTAACCTTATCCAAGTTAAATAAAACAAATAAAACAAAAAACAGCTCTTGGACTGGTTAGTGATTCTGAGTGGAAGTCTGAAAATGCATGTTGCCTGGCTGCCCAGGGTATAGGGGGACCAATATTCCATGTCTCCTTCGGGAGTGAGAGCTACAGTTATTTACACAAACTAAATACCCTTGTGGGTTATTGATAAGATTAACAGCATATTCTCAAATAAATGCATGCTGGGCCCTGCATTCATGTATTAAAGAATTTTAAAATTTTGTGAGTAATAATAAAAATGTTTTTAGATATTCTGTGGTCTGTGTTTTCTTTGTCCAGTCTATCAGTAAATTAGTTCTTGTAACACTGGATTTCTGCAACTGATTTGGTGGAAATGACGTAGATGCTTCAATACAATTTGACAAGATAATCTGTTAAAAGAATGTTATTTTTGAAGTAATTTCATTGTAAATAAAAGCTTATCTTTTGTGAACTATTTTTCCACAAACTCTCTGAAAACTGATATTGGGTTACTATTCTATTCTACACTGGTAAGCTACACCCTACTCTAAAACTTTAAGCTTTGTAACAGAAAACACATGAGGGCTTGTGTTTCACATTGAAGATAATTGTGAGTTATTGCAATATCTCTGTTTATAATGTCTCTTAAAGACTGTATTGTTTTATTCCATGAACACTGGAAAAAGACACTTTCCTAACAAGCACAAAGATTCCAAATTTCTACAAAAAAATGTTCAAGTTCACCAACCGACTGACATCGTGTACAGCCATAAGATAGTGTAAAAAATAATGTTTAAAGAGAACCAGTCTATGGACATTCAAATATTTACATATTCTTAAACTGGTAGTAAATCAGCTTAAAGCGGAGTTCCACCTGAAAAAAAAAAAAAAAGTCAGCAGCTACAAAAACTGTAGCTGCTGACTCTTAAAATACAGTCACTTACCTGTCCCCTCGGTCCAGCAGTGTCCTCATCACTGCTGCTTTCACCGGCTGTCTTCTCTCCCTGGTGCCGACAACTTCAGAGTGGGCACCCGGCTGTGACAGCTTGGGGCTTCGCAGCCGGGGGCCCACTGCGCATGCGTGAAAAGTGCTGCACTTTGTGAATGGCCCCGTAGTCTTCTGGGACCTGTCACGTGTCCCAGAAGACTACGGGGGGGGGGGGGGGGGGGGGGAGGACAACTTCTGCTTCCGATTGCCTAGGCAATCACAGCGGAAGTGGGAGAGGGCACCTGTCAAAGTTGGGTACGTCCTCCCATCCACTCCCCAAAGGTGCCAATCCTTAATGGGGAGTGGGGGACAGAGGCTTAAAGTGGAACCTGCCCTTTTGGGTGGCGCTCCGCTTTAAGGACTCATTCATACGGTCATAAAAAAAAACACATACTGTATATAAACTTTTTAAATTATGGGTTTGAATACAGCTGCATGGTTTTCAATGGAGCCATTCACAAAGGTGTGTAAACATGAGCTGCTTTCAGATCCTTAACACAGAATCCAAAAATCTGCATCTATGAACATGCACGTTATGTGTATATCTACATAAACGCATGTAAATACATTCATAAGCACATAAATTAAGTTTATACAATGAGGGAAAAATAAAGTATCAGAAAAACAAATTATGTATGCCTACACTTCTTTACACATTTAAATGCATCTATACGGCTGGAAGGCTGTTGAGTCACTTAAGTTGGCCATACATTATACAATTTTCTTGTTCAATCTCCTTTAGATTCACTAAATTCTATCCAGTTTCTGTCACTTTTTAATCAGGTTTGCCTATTCATACACTTTCTCATATCTGCCTCATAATAAGGTTATTTTCCTTGGGGCTTACCACCTTCTATGTTCAATACAGTATTAAATGTTTCCAATCCCTGTTAGGGGGGCTAGGATGCCAGAGAATTATTAGGATGGAATGTCACAGTATTTGTGGGTAAAAAACAACGTAGCATTACTACTGCATTAGTACTGAGTTTCCATTAGTTTCAATGCATATTCCTTATTCTCCACTAGGCTTTGTAAAATTTTTCCACATACTGTACACATACATAGGCTGGTTTCAGAGATGACACTTTTTTTTTACTCCCAGTCCAGTAAAGGTTAAAATCACAGTGAGTTATTTATAAAGCATTGAATGTGACATTCACAAAACATTCGCTGCAGCTGAATCAATGCTTGTGATTTTAAAACATATGTTCCAAGAAGATATATAGTACCTGCAGTGAATTTTTGATAAATGTCACATCCACTTCTTTAAAAATATACCCCTCAATCTAAAATTTTATTCCATATACAACATACTGTATGAAAACACTGCAATGTATAGGAAGGCATTTTAGCAAACACAAGACCCAATATGTTATCATATTTAGTTACAGTATTTACCATAAAGAGCCTCTGCTTTCACACCCTTCATGATTATACATACCTGAACATTTGTATTCTGGATCCACACCTTTAAGTAGTGCATCAAAGAGTGATATCTCCACCTTCTGTTTTCTGTGGTGGCAGCTGATCAGCAAAGATGGCTGAGACACTGTGAGATTAAGGAAAGGATTCAACTGCAGATCACCAGTTCCTCTTCTCCCAGGCTGACGAACAATGGTGATGCCCAGTGCCTGGCGAGCAGAAGATCTTGTTGAAGCATGAAGGCGCTCAAGAGAAAAGAGGCCAGCTTTTCCATTAACTGGAGAAGAGGAGTTACTGGCTAGGAGGTCCTCAGCTGTCAGGGTGGAGATTCCTGATTGAGCAGATCTGTCCAGGACCTCATCCGATTCTGTGCTTGTTAAGTTTAGGGAACATTTTCCGGCCTTCTCACCATCACTGGTGTCCACCTTTAATTTGGACACTGAAGTGCACGAGTATGTCATTAAGGATATGCGGCTGGCAGTGATAAAGATATCGAAGGGTATAAAGTTAAGATTTTTTACAATAGAGGACTGTTTGGATGGCTGTACGATTCTGTGATGGCTCGTGCCACTTTGAGGCTCAATTTGAACTATTCTTATTTTCACACTATCACTACCAATGCCACTGTCCTGGGCGCCACTGTAGCGGGATGAAGTGTCTGCTGTACGACCTTCAGCAGCATCTCTTTTCTGTTCCTGTTTTGAAACCTAAAAAGGGAGGCACAGGAGATATTAAAAAAAATAACCATGGGATAGGGACTTTGTTGCAATACACTTAGCCTAGTCCTAGGTTATTCTGTCTTGTTTTAAAAGACAGTGCTAAGCACAATGGTGAAGCACAAACTTAGGCAA